CTATCTTATTGTTATGATCGATCAATATTATAAGATATGTACATTCTAAGTGATAGAAAACAGGATATATATTTCTTCTTATTGAAGATTTATCAATTAAATATGTCTACATTCATAAAGATTCATAAAAATTCAATATTAAATATTAAAAAATAAAAACATAACCTCACAAGAGGTGAGGTCGTGGATGCAGACTGCTGAGGAGTCCAACATTAAGACGAAACGGCCGTCCAGTGCCTCCAGGTTTTCCATGGTGATCTAGCTTCAAATGACTCATGATCTTAACCATTGAAATAACTATTATATCCATAAAACCCATCTGATATTAAAAAAATGAACTAAATATGAACTTTTAGGAATATTTTCATAATGAATAATAACTTATATATAACTGATGGAAATGAATTGTAATGCATCATTTCAAATGTAACATATTTCAAACATTTGGTTCAGTTTAATTGATTTTCTATCAATAAATTATTACATAATGCATTACGTATGTTATATTTTACATCATTTATACCATATAAACAGTAGCATGTTATAAGCAAAAATGGTTGGTGGCTAGCAGTAGAATCCATTTTGACGTACGTGTCATCCTATTCGAAACTTGTCAGTTGAATTTATCTACATTCTGGAGTTGATGTTCACCTCGGGACTCGAACACAGTACCATTCCCTTGAAATACCATCGTGTTATCCGCTTATCTACTTAGAGTTGCTTGGTATTGTTTGACTTATATCTTCCCATTGTTATTTAGGAGTGCAATTGATCAGTCTCTTATTGGTATGTGCGCATCCTGTGCAGACTGCCTTGATATTGCTTCAAGTCACAAGCTTTATAAGCAATTTGGATGGTGGCTAGAATTGGAATTCAGGACATGCATTTTATCCTACTTGGGACTCATCAGCTGGATGTATCTGCACCTTATAATTGATGTTTGCTTCAGGACTCGGACCCTGTACCGTTCGCTTCAAGCGCTATCGTGTTATTCACCTAGCTATTGATTCCTGATAACCGCCTGCTTTAGCAATGGGGTGAAGTTTAAATTCACTTGGTATTGTTTACTTGTATCTTTTCACTGTTGTTTAGGACTGCAATTGTTGGCATATGTGCATCCTGTGTGGACTGCCTCGATATTGCCTTAAGCCCGCATAAGTAGTATCATGTTATTTTTATACAGAAACTTTTAATTGAACACTAACATTTTAATTGGCTACATCCTACTTGATAATCTTAATCCGTAATATGGGCGTGATATTCAAGAAGGTTTGAGAAGTTTTGTTAAACTTGTGAAATAGATAGAGTAATGGATTCAATTGAAGTTTAAATATAAAGCATTTTTAACAAGACTGAAGTATGTACATATATATACATTGATCATGTATTTTTTAAACGCAAGGTTTAAATTATCCTTCCAGTATTCATCCTAGATTATTAGAAAGACAAAACAGAACTGTTATATATGCTGTGAGCTCAGTCAACAGTGACTATACTATTTCAAGCTGATCAATACATTTATTTTTGAAAGATCAAAACTACACTACTATTCGAATATCTAAGGATTAACTTAATTTGTAATCATTTCTTGTCTGAATAAATCTTGATCAGAAGGGGTTTAACAGATGTCTTAGTAATTTTAATAGTTCGAATGAGTTGAAATCTCATGAAGTGAGATTGTGGATGATCACTGTTGAGAAGTCCCGTACTAGAATGAAATGACCGTCCGATGCTTCCAGGTTTTGTATGGTGGTCTAGCTTCAATTGACTCATGATCTTGACTATTAAATCTTGATCAGTTTAACTGGTATCAAGAAAAACGAAGACTATTCAAAACAATTCACATTTAATTGATGAATGAAAATAGTAAATCTTAAATGTTTCTATTGCTAACCAGACTAACAAAAACAAAGATAACTGAGTAATCCACTTAATCGTCTTACGTCTTTCAAGTTTATACTTAACTTATATGTTAGTTTAGGGATGTCAATGAATTTGTTGGGTTTCATCCTCTATATTCAAGATAAAACATACTCTTATAATGAAAGTATGGACACTATGTTTAAAATCTTTACAGTTAAATCTAATATTTAAAGTCCTGAAACAAAATAAATATGACTAGAAGAATTCAGTATTTAAGATTACATCATAAGGTCTGAGAAACAATCCTTTCATTGAGTTCTGTGCAGACTGTAGTGTCGGTTATTATGTTAATCCCATATACCTTATTCTAGCCAATTTATTCATTCTTCTTGAGTCACATTATGACTTTCGTTCATATGCTTTCTCCACTGCACGTCGTTTCGCTTCACTATCTTCTATTCGCTTTATCCCTGTGATTTCCTGTCCACATTATTGATTGTACAAAATAAATGTATTCAAAAATCCATTCTCGTAAACATATCGGCGAGACTATAATTTATAGACGAACTAATCACGTATAAGATAACAAGTCTTTAATTTTGATAGGAAATTAATTAATTCGGATAAATAGAGTTTTGACATTATAGCTGATATCATTTCATGATGAAAGCTCTAAATCTAATTCCTAACCTTAACCATCAACTGTAAATCATCATTCAAATCCCTCATTTTGGTTTCTAACCCCCATTTGGTCCTAGTTACTAAGTGGACACTCTCTAGGTCACTTTAGCGTCGCTCAAAGGTCGTTCATAAATTATAATCTCATCAGCATAACTTAAAGTTATTCCGTTCATCCTTCTCGTTATAGAATAGTTCAAATAAAGCATTTCATTTCTTCATAGTAGATAAGGAATTTTCGAAAAAAAAAATGATAACAAATAAGATACTTAATAATGATTACTAAGAATAGACAACTTTAATAATGTAATTCCCTATTGTGAATAAGAATTAGTTCTTGTTTTTCTTATTCATAAGGAATTTTAATGAGATCCATTTACAGACAGCTGTTTTCAAAAATATAAATTCACAACAATACAATAAAGTAACTATGCATAATTCTATATATCAATATTTAATTACATAACTTTCATTACATAATCTGTTTGAATGCACAGATGCTACTATACATACTTTACTCCTATAGGGAGATCATTTGTGATACAGTTTTTAAAACATAACTTCATAGTTTTATAGTGTTGTATAATATCAGTTCTGTCAAGTAATTAAACTATTCTTTAAGGTATGTTTACAGCTCGGAAATGTACAGCCTAAATAAGTGCGGAGTTATCATAACTTACATTAGGTTGATGAGATAAAATTTAAGGATTGATACATAGAATCTGTAAGGCTAGTAAAATGGCACTGAGCCATAGCCAAATTATCCGGAAGTTGAGTCACTGAATATCGAACAGATCATCGATCCCTGTCAAAGTCAAGGACAACCAACGTGCATCAATTAATCATGTGCTATGGACTGGCCCATGCGGTGGTGGTCACAATTTCTCCTGTACCTGCTTTGACAAATATATTTCTGTGATAACGTTCTTTGTGTTATACGGTCTTCAAAGCATCTACAGTACCTTGATACGACAAAGAAGTAATCCACGTTAGGTGCTGACCTCGAGGTGTGACTTGGAAGTTAGCTGTTGGTCACATCATTTCCATCTAACTCGAGTGGGCCCCAAATCATTGGACATGAAAAATCTGCGTTGGTGATCTACATAGTGAATTGACTGACTTTGGTACATGAGTCATATCTGATGAGTTTTAACCTCAACTAATATATACAACTCGATAAGATACTTGAAATAGCTGGTATCAAATACTCGGGAATTATGTGTAGATAAATTTGTAGGATTGTAAAATACCTAATTCATTAAACCGATTGTAGGTATTTCATCTGGGGTATATTACAAAACTGAGTCTGTTGTAGCAGTCACCAAAGATAGTAGATGTTTAAACTTCAACCCAGAATTAATTTGCATAACAACAATCTATATTGATCGGTTAATGAATAGTAAACTTGACTGTCTAGTTTTTAATACCGATTGAATTCTGTCGATCGAGTCTATAGGTGTTAGATGCAATGTCATACTCACACAGGAATGTCAATTATCATCAGTAATGATGATAACTCTTGCTTTCTCAACTTATGTTTAAGAGCTAGTAACTTCATAAAGATTACTACGCGCCATTTTTCCAACCAATAATGAAATAATATGATCATAAGCATAAACGATTCTTCAGTAATTACTCCAATAAAGAGTCAAAGACTGAAAAACAAAAAAGAAATTTACTAGGGCCAAATGAGGGTTATAAAATAGTGCGAGGAATTAGAATTCGTATTTAAAGTTGAACGTTAGTGTGAGGAATTAGATTCAATCTTTTTATCGCGAACGGACGGTATTTAGTCAAATGAGTGGACGAATTTCGCGCCAAAATCCAATTTATTTTAACTTTAATTGGTTCGTCTATAAATTATAGCGTTGCCGTAGACATGGAAAATGTTATATCTCAGTGAAGATTAAATTACTATTAACTATTGAGACGTATTAAAGAAATGATATTATCTATATATTCTACTGGTATAACTATTCAGTAATCAGATTGTGTATATCTATATTTCACTTATTATAAGCTTTGTTTTGGCCTATAGATTATTGTTGTACGATTTACTATTCTTAAATTATACTCAGTTTATTAATTACAGTTTCCCATATTCACAGTAACTTTTTGGCTTTATTGTGTATAAAAGTTATTTCCTATTTTATGATGTGATGTAGTCTGTTTGGCTGGTATATAAACCAAGTATGTTTGAAATAAATCATTCGTATAATGAAAGCTCGTATTGGCTTTCTGGCCTCAACTGGCAGGACGCTGGGAGGACAGAGGATCAATAGGAAGCTAGGCTGATTAAACCGGTGGAACGTCATTGGTTTAGTACAGTACAAGTGTGAATAAGTCGCATTTCGATTGGCCAACAAATTACGTGATAACTAGCTGAGAACTGGAAAGGATTGTCTAGTACAGAGTTGAATAGAGAACGTTGGTGGAAGTCCTATACTCCTTGAGGAGGGATGATAGGTGTAAGTAAGTAAGTTTGGGGATAGAACTGAACTCAGAATTTTGTGTTTCTATTTAAACACTAGGATAATAACTCCGACTCTTAAAATATGTTATTTCATTTCTGAGTTGAATGAAGGAACATATTCTGATGAACTTCAAGTTATTAAACTTTCTTACATCGTTTAATATGTGGCAATTCAACACTTGTACAACGCAAGAACAACTAATGAAATGAAATTATGTGCTCACTAGCGACTGGCTTCAAGATGGATATTGATGAAGACCAAGTGTGGATAAACAATTAATCACCAGATGCAATTACAGAGTGCTTAGCTAAAATATGAAAACCACATAACATATACATTATATGCACGAATTCATCAGTTGTTCATTGCATGTTTCATGACTCTTTTAATTCTCAATCCTCTTAAAATAACTGATCATCCGAACATAATATGTTTGGCTTTATTCCGATGACTCGAAGTTTTTGAGCGATCAGATAACTTGCCGATATATCAACTCTGCCTGTCTATTGTTGCTCTTAAATTGTGTTTTTAATCTGTAGCGCCAAATAAATCTCCAAAGTAAATAGTTCTGAGAGTGTTCGGCATTTGATGCTGACCGCATTAGTTTTACTGAACTCACTTTGCTGAAGATGCTCGTTCACACAATTTCGCCAGATTACGAGTATGCCGTGCTATGCATCTTATTCAACATTTTCAGCTCAGAACAAACGTTTCTAAGCATACCGATAGCCTTCTAAACAAATCTTTGAACCTCTTTATTTCTGACTTCTGATTTGATTGGGTTAGCATGCTTCGATTATAAAAGTGTTGCGAATAACGGCGCTGTCAAGATTCCAACAATTATGGCATCTCTAAACCCATACTTTTCAGGACGTGGGCTTGCAGCTGACTACTGTGGTGGTAAATAAATCCGCAAAATCAATAATAGCTCTGTAAGTTTTCGACATTGGATGCTGACCACATTAGTTTTAATGAACTCAGTCGCCAACGTCCGGGTTGTCGTTATTCCGTTGAAAGCGGCATGTAGTGCGATGAATGCAAAGGGTGGTACCACGAAGTATGCACGGATTTAACGCCTGAAGCTTACAAAAGGTTCACTAAAAAGGGTTGAGTTTGACTTTGTCAACAGTGCTGTTCGGATGCTAACAGCTTGTTAACCGAGGCCATTTCCCTGTTAGATTCTGCGAAAAAGTTTTTAGTAAGCGTATTCGGGACACAGCAAACAGCACTCGCTCTGTCGACATGCAGATTGGCATGAAGCAAACTCAGTTGTGTTCGAAAGTAAGTGATTAACACCGATCAGAGAAGGAAAAACAGTCTCCAAATAGGTCTGTCTTAAACAAAAACTCAAGAAAAGAAGGTTCTTCTGTACCCCGTCTTCCAAATGACATCCAGCAGGAAACGCCTAGAAGCCGCAATCGCAAGCCTCGATTGGTTTCTAGAGGGAAACATAACCTAACATTCCAGGTGGTCGACAACCGTCCGGAATCCCACAGTATGTTTGACGCCACTGTTGTTGCTTCTCCTAGCACCGTTGACGAACGGGTACAGGTTGTAAGGAAGAAACAACATAACGGTATAGAAGGGAATCCTGTCGCCGTAAAAGTAGTCGATAAATCGAAAGCTGATCACAGTAACAGATCAGTTATTTTTTATAGATTCAAAGAGAGTGGGAGTTCTGAACCAGGAGCTCGTTTTTGAGCATGACACTTTGCTGATCAAACAGCTGCTTAATCTACTCACGCCTCAAAATATCACCAGGGTCAACTTGCTAAAGATGTACTGGCTAGAGAGTCTAGCCAACTCGAAACCAAATCGATCCGGACTGTTTAAAGTAGTATACAAATCTTCGAACGAACGCGACCTAATTCTACAGAATGGACATAAATTAGAGGAATCGAGCGTTTTCATCCGTAAGGACTTACCATTGTCAGACAGTATAAAAAGACTGGAAGCCGAAAAAGAACTACAACTCAGGTTAGACGCTGGCTTAAGGGACCTGAAAATTGTAAATTTTCGGGCTGTAAGGCTTCGACAGAGAATGATGCCGAAGCCACTCCGGGTGAAGCACGAAGCCACTTAAATAGGCTTCAGATCTGTCACACTAATACCCGGAGCTTACTTATTAAGTGATCGGAACTAGGTGTACAGATTGACTCTACAAAGCCAGACATAATCTCAGTTACAGAAACCCGGCTGATAGTTCATAGATAGTATGGGACTTGATTTCGAGGGTTCTGCGTTAGTAAGGGCCAACAGAATACAAAAGCGTAAAGGAGTGGGAGTAGCTCTATTCATTAGGAATGCTATCCCATTTGCCATTGTCGACAGTGTATCCCCTGAAAGCGGGAAGTGTAAATTAGTTAGTTGCCGCTTGGAATACAAGGGACAAGAGCTGCTGATATGTTTGGTCTATTGCAGTCAAAGCTATGAGGTAAATAAGGTTCTGCTAAGCAGTCTCAATACTTAGTCACAAAGTTATCACATGTGCGCTAGTGCAACACGTGCAAGAAGCGACACGGTACAGCCCGGACACTGAATCATCTTTACTTGATCTTATACTGACTCACTATGAGGATGACGTTGCGAACCTCCATCATATGTCACCACTAGATAAAAGTGATCACGCACTTCTCACTTTCGACTTCCATCTAACTGTCAGTTATGAGCACGCGTCAGCCAAATCCAGACCTAACGCCTGGAAAGCAAACATACCAGATATCATGCACTCAGCATCGTTAGTAGACTGGACAACAGACCCAGATTCGTCAAGTAAAACGGCCTGGGACGCTTTTCGAAAGTCACCACAATCCACATCCCTTGGACTATACCAAGGGCGCCGAAAAAATCCGCAATATGCTTCATTAGGTAGGTCCGCATCCTCCTCCATAATAGACGAAAAATGTGGGATATATTTAGGTTACTGGGGACTGATGAGACAAAATCTCAGTATCGAAAAGCTCGGAATACCTATGCCTCGACCATCCGTAAGTTTCGAAAGTTGTACGAAGAAAAGGAAACCATAGAATGTCCTAAACGCCTGTATTTCTATATAAACCAAAGGAAAAAAAGAAGAGTAAATGTTTTTAAACTGTGGAGAGACAGTACTGTCGCATCATTAGTGGAGGACGACTTTGATAAGGCTCAAGTGTACTCGAAATACTTGAGCAATGTATGTCCCATAGAAGCACCCTTCATGTCAGCGCATACAAATCCCTCCACACAAACACTGGACAACGTGACCATTAAAAAATTTGATGTCTTCGGTCTGCTAAGTAAGCTTGACATAGATAAACCCACGTTGCTCGATGAATTACATCCTAGCCTACTGAAAGAATTATCTAACTTCGTTGCGAACCCTTTAGGTATATGCTTTAATCTATCCGTAAACCAGGGTCAATTATCAAAAGATTGGGAGGACGCCATAGTAAGTCCTGTCTTCAAAACAGGTACGAAACATAAACCTGAGAATTACCGAACCGTTAGTTTAACTGATGTGATTGTTAAAATCTTAAAAAAGAATATTCAAAAGGAGCCAATTAAGTACCTCGATGGAAACCGGATCCTTTCGGAGAAGCAGCATGATTTCAGAATAGGTTACTCTTGTCTCACTAACTTATTAGTGGCTTGTAAAAACTGGTGGGCTCTTAAGAATCAGATGTTACCTGTAGCAAAGCTTTTGATAAAGTTCCGTACAACTGGCTGTTATATAAGCTAAGAAATGTCGGAATTCAAGGCAATCTATTGATAAGGATAAAAGTCTCCCTAGTTGGACGTCAACAAGAAATACGAGTGAACTCAAAGTTATCTAGCTGGGAAACTGTACTTAGTGGAGTTCCCCAGGGTACAGTTCTGGGGTCAGTGTTATTCCTCTTGTATGTAAATGACCCTCCTCGTCTCGTATCATCATCGGTCTTGCTATATGCTGACGATGTCAAGATATTGAGAGCGATACGATGTAAGGGTGATAGCTTATAACTCCTAAATGACCTGAAGAAATTATCTGAATGGTTTCAAACCTGGCAGTTGCCGATAAATACTTCCAAGTGTATTGTAATGCAGACAAGTCATCAAGATACAGATCTATACACTATGAATAACACTGAACTACCTATTGTCCAGACACACAATGACTTAGGAGTGATCGTTAGTCAAGACTTAAAGACTACTACACACTGTCGAGTAAAATACGTCAAAAATTTTAGAACTTTACGGTCAATACGTAGGGCTTCTAGTCATGTCGACACTAAAACGTTTTTGACTTTGTATACGGTGTTCGTACGTTCTAAACTTCAATACTGCATACAGGTGGCTAGCTCCTGCTCAAAAGACTGTGAGTTTTTGCAAAAGGTCCAAAAATAGCAAAGCTCCCATATGATGCTCGACTGGCCAAGCTAAATCTATTCATGTGGTCATAACCTAGGACTAGTGAGGACTTGATTACAGTTTTCAAAATGCTTAGTGATAAATGTGCACCTGATATGCCCTCATATTTCTTGTCTTCCAAAACAGAGAATTTACGAGAACATTCCAAAAAGGTTCACAAGCCCAGAACAAAGTACTTGTCAATTGATTATCGACTTTCCCGTCGAATCATCAAAGAGTGGAATTCATTAACTCAGCACGTGGTTGAGGCTCCATCCATGGACTCTTTCAAAATAAAGTTGGATCAACTGAGAGACCACCAGTGCCAGAACTAACACAGGCCATTGGGCCTGCTGTCCATCCCAAACTGAAACTGAAACAGTTGAACATTGTATTTTGTTTGTTTTACTTTGTTGTGTCATAACAGTAAGTACGCAAACTTTTGAAAACTTGTGGATTATGGTATTCTTAAATCACTTCATTATTTTATAGAAAGGCCAGTCAAACAGCTAGGAAAAACAAGGATTCCAATAAAAAAATAAATGACGTTGGTACGATGATTTTTTATTTTCATTTTGAAAAGACGAAACAAAGCTGAAAGAACTTGAAGAAGAGAGAGAACGACTTAGGGAAGAAAAAGAACTAGAATTGCGCAAAGCACTGCAAGAAAAAGAGGTTAGATAATTTACTTACAGTGTACAAAGTGTTCATAATATTCCAGACAGTGTTTTTATAACAATAAACTCTACTAAATATCGTTTCTTATGCATTCAGTTATTCAATAGAAATAGTAATCAATCATTATTTCGTTCAAAGTGGATCCGCAGATCCTAGAGAATAATCGTTTTGTGAGATGTTCTGTAATCATAGTTTTTTAAAATAATGGTGTTTGTCGCGCTGAAATTTTACTGCCCTATATATTGAATATCACTTTGAAAGCTTTTCTCTCGGTTTCAGTTTCAATTTGGAAAGGACACTGTCATGCTCATAACGAGTTTTTGGTTCAGAGCTTTTGCTCTCATTGATTCTTCGAAAAATAACTGATCTGTTACTGTGATCAGCTTTCGATTTATCGACTACTTTTACGGCGACAGGATTCCCTTCTATACCGTTATGTTGTTTCTTCCTTACAACCTGTACCCATTCGTCAACGGTGCTAGGAGAAGCAACAACAGTTGCGTCAAACATACTGTGGGATTCCGGACGGTTGTCGACCACCTGGAATGTTAGGTTATGTTTCCCTCTAGAAACCAATCGAGGCTTGCGATTGCGGCTTCTAGGCGTTTCCTGCTGGATGTCATTTTGAAGACGGGGTACAGAAGAACCTTCTTTTCTTGAGATTTTAGTTAGGACAGGCCTCTTTGAATAATTAAAAAAGAAATATGGTTTATCTTGGTAAAAGTTTTGAATGTTGGCCACTCGATAGGTTAACAGAGCTCTGAAGTAAGCCTATCCAAACCAACCACATATGGTGGTTTATATGAGATCTTTGCTGGATATGTATCAAAATCCAGTTATTTGATATCAGTTTTATCTGTATTGCATATTGGTACTTTTTTGTCTGCATAATGGAATATTTTAATGTTTCAAATCTTGAGTAGGTAGAGTCCTTATTAAACTATACTCTTCAAATGCGTAAATCTGAAATTCACTTACTGTTTATTTACTTAAAAACACAGTTGAGAGACTAACATAAAAATTGTTACTTACTCGGTGGTTAAATGGTTCAAAGTGGCCGCAAAATCTCATTCTTCCCATTCAAAAAACCGCTACAACCTTATACAATTGTAACCCGCACCTCTGAGTCCGTTGTGCCTAACTTGGTTTGTATTTATGTTTACATCTTCTTTAGGTATTACATTGCAACTACGACCTAATTTGTCCCAAACATAAACATACAGTCGAATCCAACTTCTGGAGTTCTTACAGACTGAATACCCCATTATTACGACACATTCCAACCTGGTAAAATGTTTGTAGACTATGAAATCAGATGGGACTAGAACTGGTCAAAGTTTAAGGCACAAGCTATAAGTCTGAATGGTAGTACTTTTAAACCGCCATTAGTTAGTGAATATTAAGAATGGAAAAATCATTTTTATACGATAGTAACTTGTTTTTCATGATTTAGTAGGACTTCTATGTCTAGAACTTTTCAGATGGATAACATTTAGCGTTACTTTTAAGTGCACTAACTGAATCTTCAATCGCAGATTTTTTAATAAAAAATGGTAAAGTAAATTAAAACATGAGGAAATATGCAAATTTTGGTTAAAAAAGTAGAAGTATAGGTGAAGTGTCCTATTATTTTAAGACTGGGTTTCAGAGTTAGATGTCAAGACAGGGAATAGCAATTGGTAACAACTGAAAAGGAGGGCTTAGGAAAGGCTTACTTGGAGGTTTATTCTCGGCAGCCTATCACATAAGGCGGATAACAGACTTAAGTAGATAAGGTGCAAATCATCTAACAAAGTAAAGACTCATGTAATTAATTGCATGTGAGCATTAATGATATCCTATGGTTGGCAGAATTGGAAAGTATTTAGATTTGAGTCAGCAGACCATTGAATTTGTATCCGATAATTCACATCCATAACTTTAACCGCTTATTATTTGTTAAGAAGCACAAATATGTGTGAAAGGCTTTACTTCAATATGCAATATTTCATCTTAACGAACTGTTTTAAATGCGCTCATTAAAATCAACCTAAATATTGTCATCGCTAAGTTTCTAATTGGACGGACTTTTGATTCATTTAAAAACGAAATATCATGTAACGATATAACCTAACTAATTTTATTGCTATTGTTATTATGTGAGAGCTGATATAGTCAGTGATAATTGTCAGTTAAACATGTAACTGGACAAGTGTTCAGAAGAATCTCACCGTAAGTATTGACAACTTTATCTCAGTCTTATTAAGGGACAGTCTCTCCTTATTTTTCTGCTAACTGGTGATTATTACCACCTTTTACTAGATGTCGCTAATTAATAAACTGGTTATTTTCAACCTCTCACCACTGTTTTACAGAGTTATAGCATAAAACATCATCATATACTTGTTTGAGCTACATATTCCCAATTACTCGACACAATGACAAGAAGTTTTGAATGATTTCTCATTCACTAACGTAAAATTTATAAACCTTTTAATTCAGGATCATAAGGTACGAGTTGAAGAATTAAAACAAACAAGAATATTGATCAATCAATTAAACAAGCGTTTACATCAACTCGAAGTACAATGTCGTGATCAATATACCGTAAAATCATAATCTACTTAAATCATTAATAGTAATATAATTTAGTGGGAAAGATATTTTCAATGTGATGATTTACCTAATCCAATTATTGAAAGCGAAATTAATACATATATCAGTTTATGGAATTCAGATGAACAACATATATCTATAGAAGATGTTATGAATGATTGTATAAAAAGTTTTAAAGTAAGTCAATAATTGAATTTTTTTGTAGTAACTAATTGAATAGATTATTGATGAATTAAACTTATTGATTTCTGAACTAACGGATCATGATGAAGATCAACTTCATTTGGTCAAATACAATGATGTAAGTCAATCTATTTATATTCATATTAATATCATTATCTTTAGATGATACATCAATTAAGGCAACAAATAGATGAGAAACTAGATAGATCTATTATTGATCTATTAACAAAAGCTATTTATTATAAAGATAATGAAACATTAAATTTACAAAAAATTTGGTATAATCATTGGATTGTATTGTGTATCTGGGGTAATTTATCTAAAAATCCAAGGTATATACTTGTTTATTATTATTATTATCGTTATTATTATTGTTTTTGAACACATAAAGGGGGTTTCAATTTCCATATAGCCAAGGCTTCAATAAACCTTAGTATATGTCTTTGAAGGCTTTTGTATAACACTACAAATGCTGATTTGATGTCAATATTATGACCCGTCTCAATCAAATGTTTCGCAATGGAGTATGATGTCTGTCTATCCTGTGATGTTATTTGACCATTGGAATTCATTTGCTCCTGCAGCCATTTTGGTATATGTTCAACCATCCTTAATGGCAAATCACGATTGCTTCTTCCAATGTACGTGTTTCCATACATACATGTCAACTGATAGACACAATTAAATATGACACAATCGCTTTTGTGCTGTTTGGGCTTTTCATGAAACACAGACCTTGTGTTTTCGATAATGACAAGTTGGGCTGCATAAAATGTCTAGTTGATAGCTAATTTAAGTCTCCGTTTCAACATGAGACTATTTGTGTCACCTCTGAATGGTAGCATAATATAAACTCGCCTTTTAGGTGACAGAAGCGTCATAGGTCAAATCATATTGCAACCCTTCCAGCGGTTTATGAACTTCAATGAATAAACATTATTCATTAACATATGAGTCAAGAGCTTCGTCTCTACTTTAATAGTATCACTAGTACAAATACGATTGATCCTATTGAATAAGTTCTTTAATAAACTGCGTTTGTAATGAATAGGGCAGTGACTATGAAAATTAAGATATTGTCCTGTCCATGTTATTTTTCCTTTGTTATGACTTACCCTTAACCTGTCTAGTTGACCTTTTAATTTTCATAATATAAATGTTCTTAACAAGTATATTAGTTGTGATCAGATTGTTCAAAATGCATTGAGCAAATCTGTCATCACATAATTCTGATATACTTCGTCTTCTCATTGCATTATCGAAACTTATCAAAGGGACTAATTGTTTTAAATTATTATTATTAGTATGTTTTTGATTGAGATCATGAACCGATTGATGTTAGACCACCGTTGGAAGCCTGGAAGCACTAGACGGCCGTTTCGTCCTATTGTGGGACTCCTCAGCAGTGAGCATCCACGATCCCACTCCCTGCGTGATTCAAACCCATGGCCTTCGGTCTAGCGCGCGAACGCTTAACCTACTAGACCATTGAGCCGGCATCCAATGGTGATAGTGTCTAACATCAACCAATCCACGAAATCGCGCAACCATCTTCCATTTCAGTGAGGTAGATACCTATCTCTACCCGACATGGATTAGCTCCACTGATCACGGCTTCTCATTAGAACTCCGAGAATTCCCCCACGAAGCTGGTCACTAGTGAGCATATGTTGGTTACTAGTATAGGGGTTGTGGAGATTATTAAGTTTTTGACTGGGACCGACGGCCCTCGGTTCGAGTCCCGCGAGTGGGATCGTGGATGCGCACTGCTGAGGAGTCCCACTATAGGACGAAACGGTGGTCTGGTGCTGCCAGGTTTTCAATAGTAGTCTAACATCAATCGGTTCATGATCTTAATCAAAAACTTAATAATCTCCACAACCCCTATACCAGTATTATTATTATTATTATTATTATTATTATTATTACTGTCTCCCCTTTACTCCATATGTAGGATTAAACAATTCACATTCCCTGAGATTGATATTACATTTGATATCCCAAAAGTGTTAACTCTATCTGATTGTGTATTTTTAATCAATTTCATGAAATATGATAATTATTCATTTAAATGTCAATCATATTATCCATGTAAATTGCCAAAATCAAGTAAGTATAATTATAATTATGAATATTTTATAAAATTGAAGTTAATAGTGAATTAGTCAGCGGTGAAATGATTCAACAAGATGATACTTTGATTGAAGAGAATCAATTAAATGAAAATAAAATAGAAGAAGTATGTTTAACATTATTTTGTGGTTGTTGTTTGTTATGAGTTAATTTATTGTTGCTATGTGTTCAGCAAGAAAGAACATTTAAACATGTATCTAAATTCAATTGGTGTTGTTTTACTTGTATCTTCCTATTGTTATTTAAGACTGCAGTTGATTAGTCTCATGTTGGCATATATGCATCCTTTGTGGGTTACCTCGATATAGCCTTTAAGTCATAAGCTTTATAAGCAAAGATAGATAGTGGTTAGCTAAATGATTGGAAATTATTAGTCAGTTGTAGTTACAGAATATAATTTGTCGGAGACTGATTATGAATACAATGATTGTGAGTGCTGTTAGAGGTATGAGGGCATTTGTCATTTCACGGTTGCCCACGCTGTGGAAGGGTTCTTCTGGAGGTACCTGAAGAGGAAATTGGGTTAAGGGTGGTCATAGTGACCCGAGAGTGTGACCTCAATGCGCAAGGGACAACTACTTGAGGTCGGTCACACACGACCTATTTGTGAATAATTTTCGTGTTAGCTCTGTATTTATTGGAATGCTTTAGAGATCATAAGTGTTATTTTCTAACGAAGAATAAATGAATGCTAACCGCTAGGAATTATTTATGGACTGTTGTTATATATATTCTTATTGGATAACTATTCAGTAACTAGATTATATGTATATTCATATTCCTTTTAATTTTAAGCTTCCACTTAACCTACAGACTACTATTATACGATCTACTATTCTTAAGTTATCCTCAATCTGTTCGTTACAGTATCTCACAATGAAACGCTTAATTTACTTGAAAAGACTGTTGTTTATTTTCTTGAATTAACCATTTGCATTAACAGTCTTCAACATTTTGTTGAACTTCTTGGAGGTTATAGCAAGTTTCATTGAGAAGTATTGTGAATTAGTTGTCCCATGAATTTCATAATAATCTACATTGTTGACAAAAGAAGAAAAATCTCTGCAGAATACTTAAAGATCTTTGAAGTGATTGATCGAAAGATAGAAAATATAATCACTTAGAATTAGAAGGTAATAACATCAACAGCATAGTTCATACAACTATTGAATATTCTAAAATCAACTAATTTCAGTAGTTGAGATCATGAAATTACTACAATCGCCACAAAACCTCTTCTGATACTAATCAACATATGCTCACTAGTGACTGGCTTCAAGAGACATATCCTGGAGTTCTAGTGAGAAGCAGTGACCAGTGGAGTTCAACTGGGTCAGTTGTGAGGTAGTAAATCACTGATGACAATGGTGGATGTGTCGCTCAATTTCGTGAATTAGTTGAAATTAGACATTAACACCGTTGGATGCCGACTCAGTGGTCTAGTTGATTAAACGCCTGGCGCGAGACTGACAGGTCCTGGGTTCAAAACCCGTGAGGCGGGATCGTGGACACGCACTACTGAGGAGTCCAAAAATGGGACAAAACGGCTGTCCAGTGTTTCCAGGTTTTTCATAGTGGTCTAGCTTCAGTTGACTCATGATCTGAACTATTGAAATTACTACAATCTCCACAAAACCCCTTCTGATATTAATATACTAATTTATTTGTCTATATTATTGTCTTTTTAATATATTCTTGTAGATTTTATTAAATGATGATAATAGTGAAAAACAGCAAACAACTGAAATGGAAGAAGCATTTGAAATTCCTCCAGAAGATCGAATCCCTACACCAGGTTATTGCTTATATGGTTTTGCTATACAAGTGGGAGATTTGTCGACGTAAAAGATTAGCTATGATATGATCCATAAAGTTTGTAGCTTAGATAAACGCTTTTATAATGATCATAGTTTTTACTTGATGTAGACACTTATAATAATATTCAGAACGATAATGAAGGCTACCTTACAATTCAATGAATGAAACACTATTAAAGTATAGTTGATTTTAACAGATTAATTTACTGAGTTGGAAATTTCTGAAGAAAACAGTTTATAGGCTAGCTACTTCAAATCTACTTAAAAACTCCTAATAGATATTTTCTTCAAATCTAAATAGAAGTATTTGATTCTGTTTTAAGAGAATAATACTTTATAAATAAAGATGGATAGTTCCTAGCAGTAGAATTCAGGATACGTGTTTCATCCTATTTGGGACTCATCAGCTGGATGTACCTGCATCTCAAAGTTTATGTTTACTCCGACATTCGAACACAGTACCGTTTGCACCAAACGCTATCTTGGTATCTACTTAGTTAATGAGTCCTGATAACCACCTGCTTGTGCAATGGAGTCAAGTTATATTCAATTGGTATTGTTTTCCTTGCATCTTCCTATTGTTATTTAGGACTGCGATTGATCAGTCACATGTTGGTATATGTGCATTCTTCGCGGGCTACCTCGATATTGCCTGAAATCACGCGCGTCCTATATTCCACTACTAGCCACTATCCATCTTTGCTTGCAAAGCTTGTAACTTCAGGCAATATCAAGGCAGTCCGCACAGCATGCACAGTATGCCAACAAGAGACTGATCAATTGCAGTCCTAAATAACAATGGGAATATGCAAGTAAACAATACCAAGTGAGAATAATACTAAATTAACAATCATTATTTAAAATTTCTCAACCGTAATCAATTCAACATGTTTAGATTGTAAATAATGACTATCATTTACCCTTCTGTCTATCACCACTTCGAAAATTTAAGAAATTATATTCCAACTTTACAAATCTGTTACGTTATTTGCTCCGTAAATGTTGTCTTATGTGGTTTTAATATGTTGAAAATTTAATAAGCTATCATACATGTACTATCTATTTTGAAGCTGACAATAATCTTACTACCAAACTAATTGATACCTTCAAATGAATTTTATTCAAGTTCGCTGAATTTTAACAAAATCACGACGTGACAGTAAACAATGGGTGATGCTTCTTAATGCATGCTGGAATAGTGCTCGAATCGTATGTTTGTTATTGTTCGTCTGTTTTTGTGACGATATGGTTATGAATAGACATCTAAAGTTTTGTAAATTCCTAGATACCGACCATCCATCTCATTCATATCTTCTTGTATATCTTCTGGTAGAACGAGACATTATTAAATTGGAATCCATGCACGTAAGCAAAGGTATATAAGCTCTAAAATACCTTATCTTGTAAATATAGTCTGTGATGAACAACTTGTTAGAGTTGACTTAGTCAATAACTTGTATTCCTAAACAGGTTTCTAATTGAAATGTTATACGATTTCAACTGCACATTCACGATCCCTTTGCGCGAGATTCGGACTCAGGACCTATCGGTTTCGATCGTGAACACTTCCAGGTTTTCCACGGTGGTCTAGCTTTAATTGACTGATGAATTCAACTATTATATATTATCAGAAGCGGTTTGTGGAGATTTTAGAAATTTTCACAGATTGAAATCATGAGTCAGTTGAAGCTAGACCACCATTGAAAACCTGGAAGCACTCGACGGCCGTTTCATCCTAGTATGGGACTACTCAAATTTTCGAAAACCTCCCTTTTGATAAACATTTTTATATCTATTAATTCTAGTATATTTAGTCCAGAATATCGATTTGTAAGCACAAAACCAACTAACTGTGTTGGTTTCATCATAATATAATAATGATATTTACTGATATACTGTTCAAATTGAAGTTAGTTTTATTAAGTGATATCAGTTGAGAAATCACTGGAAACGACTAAGCAATGAAAATTCATTTGAAAGACCGCAATGTTTGTGCTTTCCGTTAGAAGAATTGAAGGTCTTTTGTTTGACCTTGTGTTACGGTTATGAATATGGACTATTTGAGAGTTGAAAAGCATGAGAAAACAACACTTGAAGTCATTAGCGAACACTATTCAACCAATGGTCTATTTAAAACCAGTTAATCATTATATATGTAAATATTTCCAAAATCAATATTTTTTTGTTTATTATATTTAGAATCTGAGAATTGGATAAAAACTGATATGGAAGAAGATGCAATTGATTTAGGTGATTATCATGTAATTGGTGGTATTATTCGTTTTGAACTGCTTACTCTACCTCGACAACCTAAGACAGTTAAAGGTTGGACTATTACAACTTGTGTAAAACCTCCAAAACTTCATCCATTTGAATATATAGTTGATGCATCAGAAGAAATAAGTGAGTTATTAATTTTATTATAGAATTATTAACGATATTTTCAAGGTGATCTACATTATAAACTTAATTCAGTTGAAAAACCATCGAGGTTAAGCTATTTCACTCTGACTTTATGTTCCTTAGAAGCATACAACTCTTCCTTATAACTCTGAACATCTAAACTCATTAGCTCAGTGTATAATGAGTTGGAATCCTAAATGAAAGATCTGTAATCTCGATCCCAATGTGAGCCTCAATACTGAGATACAAGTACATCCAACTGATGAGTCCCATACAGCATTAGATGAACGTACTAGATTCCACTGTCAGCCATAAATCATTTGTTTCAATTAAATAAATCATTTATCTAACATTTTTGGAGAGACTATAAATGATGGATGACCTTAGACCTAAGTGACCCTGAGAAGTTTGTATAGAGTAGGAATATATTATACAAATCCAAAAATATACAGTGGATGCACTTCTTTAACATGGTTTGGAAACTTTTAGAGGTTAGAAAGACACACTGTAGTTCTGAACTCGTAATGCATACAGTACAAGAACTCATCCATGTGACTCCATAATAGTTGACCTCTGAAGCCATGATAAAGTCGTAAAAATTCTTTCAACCTCGACTACATTGCTTCAATAAAATTATTGTGTGCTTCCGTGGTGGGATCTATAAAATGCCGCTTTTGAACGACGATAGGATGCACGTAACTAAGTCTAAATAGGCAGCGATATGCTCTCCAGTCACCCGTTTATATTGGGGTACTTTGCTGCACATACTCTTGTATAATCGACAATTATCGTTATGACCTGTCGGTTTTTCATGTGTTATTAGTGTTTCTTTTGAGATGATTGATCATACGTACCAAAGACCTGATAAGTATACTTAGGGAAGGTCTAATTACCGGACATTCTTCAGTACTTCTTCCTCTATTGAATTTACGTTTTCTAATGATTTTTTCGTCGATTTCTACGAATCTCCCGATTCCTCCAATCGACTGATTAAGTTTATCATTTTCATTGTAAATACATCTCTATAGTATTCATATTATTGAACTACCGAAGCTTCAGTAACATCTGCAAGGGTTGCAGCCAGTGTTACTGATGCTCTTCATTATCCAGTTTATAATCATCATAACCTGTCTTACTTTCAATCCAGAATGAGTTGAAAAAGTCCCCGTTCTAGAGATTTTTCCCTCCAACATATATTAGATCCAAAAATAACATCGTCACGATAGTCTGCACGATGTCCAGCATACATTCAAACACCACGATCACAAATAAAGGAAATTCTTAGTTATCCCACCTGTTGTAACCACTCATCTATACGTCCTCCTTTAAATCCGCTGTAAACCTATCTACCGTGAGTATTGGGTATTGAAATAGGCACCGAAACCTTATTATCGCTCACTTGCTTCTGACCGGCTTGTTCATAAGTTATAGTCTGGCTCTTATAAAAATTGGTATTATATTTCAAATTGTGAAATGCAACGTAACCTAGGACGAATATTTCGCACAGTTTTTGACACATTAACTGGTTATCCCAGTATCGCATTATTGCTGTTCTTACTAAGACTCGATTCCTGTTTCACTTACTTAAAATGTCATATTTTTGTCTTCCAGTTTGCTGAGTCTCAACTAATCACTTACATAATTGTACTGTTTGGTACCATCTCAAGTGCACATGGGTTATCTAGCTTCCGGACAGACCAGTTTATTCATCCTTTTTGAGTCGCATTTTGATCTTGTCGGTTATTCGCTGGTCAACCTTGACTGTTTTTATATGAGTGTGCGTGTGTTTTTGCTTACCCTATTCATTACGGATCTGTAGCTTATTTTTGTCCAATTATAAATATGGTGTCATGCTTTATGGAATCAAGTTAGTTTACCCTCCTCCTCCGCTTTCCTTTGCCTTCTTGCTTTTCATTCGGAATGTCTATTCGAATCAACGAGTGTACGAAACATCATCTTTTACATTCTCTGTTTATTTCTTATAATTAAAGAAACAGAAAGTGAATCTGTAATGGAAGAAACCCCACGAAAACAAGAGAAGAAAGAAGAAAGACCACCAATTCAAGTTAAAATTCGGTAACATAAAGTTGAATGTAAAATGTATATTATGATGCGGTATTTTTTTTAATCCTTCAACAATGGATGATAAATTGTCAGGCATATAGTTGATCTAATTTCAAGCACATGTGTTATTGAGGTTAAAAATGTAAACCACTGGATGGTAGTTCATGAGTTTGGATGTTAAACACACACACACGATGATACATAAAGATACTTGATTTGACCAGTGATTGGGTTGACGATACAAACACTTAATCAGTTCTATACTAACATGAAATACTTGTCTAGTACTTCCTAGTCTGTGTTATAGTGCATAACAATCAGTGATTTGTACGAACTCGATTCATCACAAATTCTCATTTGAACTCTGATCATTCACCTCGATCCTAGTTACTAGTGTGTTAATCTCAGCGCATAATGAAAATGAATCTCAAATTAAATAATTGTTTAGATAATGGGTCATGAACGAACAGATCATATACTGTTCCATGATTATGCAATAACTCAAAGATAAGTGTAGGTGAATCATTTTGAATACAAGAATTATTCATCTAGTTTAAGTCTTACTATGAATAAATATCAGGAGGAAAAACCATTGTAAAGAACGATTGAAAATACAATAGAAGTCTCAAAGTATACAATGGAATAATAAATAAATTTATAGAATAGTGTTATGACAAATAAAAACGATAATTCCACTGGTTGAAATCATGAGTCAATTGAAGCTAGAACACCATGGAAAACCTGGAAACACTTAACAGCCATTTTGTCCCATTGAGGGACTCCTCAGTAGTGCGCAACTTCATGGATTGGTTGAAGTGAAACATTAACACCGTTGGACGTCGGCTCAGTGGTTCAGTGGTTAAGTGCTCGCGCGCGAAACCAGTAGGTCCTGGGTTCGAATCTCGCAGGGGGCGAGGTCGTGAATGCGCACTGCTGAGGAGCCCCATACTAAGACGAAACGGCCATCCAGTGCTTCCAGGTTTTCAATGGTGGTCTAGCTTCAATTGATTCATGATTTCAACCAGTGAAATTTCTAAAATCTCCACAAAAACCCCTTCTGATAAAATGATAATTATCAAAGCTAAAATTCTAACTGAAAGTATATCTTTGGAGTATAAATAATTGATAAGTGATTTACAAATTATAATACACAATCCTGAGCTGGATGGTTTGGTTGTGGAGCATTTATCGTTCTTCTCAACGATGATGTCGTTTAGAAGAACGATGAAAGCTCCACGACTGAACCATCCAGCTCAGAGAACAAAACCTCATCAAAATCATCCATCTAATCTATAAATCTTCTCCACCATCTCAATACTCAATTTATTGATCAGTTGATTAAGATCTACAATAAATTAGCATATCTTGAATATATCGACCTTAGTAATTAATTATTTCACTATTAGATTGAATCTTCTAATCTAACTTTACGAATTTCAGCTCTTCAATTTGTACAAAATATTTCTCACTTAAAATGTTAAATAAGAAATTGAACTTGGTTCTAGATTTGTAAAAATATTTAAAACGACATTAATTGGCCCATGATAACTAATAGGCAACACTCACTGATCAATATTTTGTGTTAATTGAGACTAATCAACAAAATGTATATACAGTCTTAAAGAGACTGATTCACTGAGTATCATAATCAGCGACGTTACTACTAAGATATCTTGGTCATAATTGATCTTCTGTAAGATCGGTATTTACACTAACTGATAATTAAATGGCAATCAATGTTATGTTTCTATACCTCATAGTTCCGATTTGATTCTACTAATTATATAACAATTTAATTAATCATTCATAAACAAATAATAACCTGATATATGTCTAATTTAGTCGGATATAACATAAACACAACGACATGAATTGATGAAACTGAATACCGAACAAGTAGAAACAGTTGTAAACGTATCAGTTATAGTAAAAAACTATTATTAATCATAACCGATAGGACTCGAGAGAAAAAGGCAAGTAATTATCGAAATGGGTTACAGTGGACAGTTGGGATCTAGATGGACTATCTAGACTTCTCAGATGATCAGGTTCTTCTGTCTCACACTCACCAACAAATGCTGGATAAAACGACCAGCGTAGTAGCAGCCTCAGCAGCAGTAGATCTCGACATACACAAAAGGAGAAGCAAGATTCTCTGATACTACACAGCATACAACAATCCAATCACACTTGATGGAGAAGATTTGGAAGATGTAAACACCTTCACATATCTGGGTAGCATCATTGATGAGCACGGTGAATCAGATGCAGATGTGAAGGCGCGAATCGGCAAAGCAAGAGCAGCATATTTACAACTGAGGAACAACTGGAACTCAAAACAACTGTCAACCAACAACAAACTCAGAATTTTCAAGACAAATGTCAAAACGATTCTACTGTATGGGGCGGAAACCTGGAGAACTGCGAAAGCTATCATCCAGAAATCACAAGTGTTTATTAACAGTTGTCTACGCAAAATACTTCAGATCCGTTGGCCAGATGCTATCAGCAACAACGTACTGTGGGAGAAAACAAACCGAATCTCAAAGGAGGAAGAAATCAGGAATAAGCTCTGAAATTGGATTGGACACACATTGGAGAAAGCACTCAATCGCGTCACAAGGCACGCCCTCACTTGGAATCCTCAATGCCAAAGGAGGAGAGAAATATCAAAGAACACATTACGCGAAGAAATGGAGACAGACATGCGAAGAATGAAGAAAAATTGGATAGAACTAAAACGAAGGCTGAGGACATAGTGGGTTGGAGAATGCTGGTCTGTGGCTTACGCTCCACTGGGAGTAACAGGCGTAAGTAAAGTAAAAAAAATCATAGGAATGTAAATGACAAAATAACTTTGAGACTTAGTCTCTAAGAGAAGACTGAGGTTGAATCAACACACTTCACTGATACCTATTCTCAGCCTCGTCATACAACATCCCCAATCATTGGTTCCAATAATCACGCCGTCCCTGATTAAGTAACAGTAATTTTATTATTATGATTGCTGTTAGAACTAACAATATTTGTCTAATATCTAGAAATTACCAGTTTCTTTTCTTGTTCTATCTTTTTAGTATACCAAAATCTATAATCATTGTAGAAGATCCTTTATTAGCTAGATGGGATCCAGAGAAATTACAATGGCGTACAACAGGTATTCAATTAATTAAATTTAATGAAGATGACAATACTATCGTATTTAATACAAGTGTATTTGGTACAATTGCTATCTTTCAAGATTTTCATATTAATATGCCATTTCAAGTAAGTGAATCAATTGAGTATTAATCCTTTTATTTCTATTGTAAATGTTCTCTAGTTATTTGTAGTACATTTTTTAATAGATCAGATAGTCATAAATCCCATACCCTATTACACTCAATTAGATTGAACTGGCTAAATTGTATTGTGGTGTGTGCTACTAATGTCTATAGATATAAGTAGTATGTAACATTAATCGAAAGTGAAATACCTGAAGGCGGAAGGTTAAGAAGATTGAAGGAAGGAGAACAATAAAAAAGAATGATTGCTGTAGGAACGAAAGAGCCATGACATTTGAGACGATTGATTAACATTTTTCAAATTAAATATTTACTGTATTTTTTCTCAGATTTTACTAAGTGATTCTGTAATTTTGTATTCAAATACATTTGGTTTTCCGTATTTGTGTTCTCGTTCACTACAGTAGCAGTCCAGAGTAAGACTAGAGATAAGTCTCTACTTTGTTACAGAGTTAAATTATATGAAAATACTTTCTTTATATGTCTGACTTGGATTAACTGTTCAAACTTAACATTTATGTGAGGGCTGAGATACTGCCTGGGTACTCAAACTGAAACAGGTGGTTTCCTTAGGGGGCCACACCCGAAGCCTTTGACCTAAAGGTCTAATCCACAACGCGTGGGAGCAACTTTAGCAGATGCAGTCCCATGGTAGGCGATGACCAACAATAGATGCATACGCCATTTGTTTTCTTAGGATCCTGGAGCTCATGTACACCATTAGTTTGGAATCAGGGTCTTCCAACTAAATCCCCTAGATAGATCTTCCGTATCCACCAACCTGGTTAAAGTGTCGGACACTCACTTTTCGTCCTCTCGATTTCGTAAAAAAATACCTCAGCTGTGAGAAGGCAGTGAGTAGAACTTCCTTGACAGTGTTTGTATGCACGTGGCCACTTGAGAACATTTGGAGAGGGAGATCTGACTCTCCCCACTCTTGGCCGTACCAGGGCATTTGGAGGCAATATTATTTCGCAATATCTGCAATTTTAGTGTTAAGAGGTTAGTGACAATTATCTGAAATAATCCTATGTTTCTGTCGTAGAATATACCCTCGAAACTAAAATGCATTCAGAATCTATAGTTTAGATATGTTCACCAAGCATAACCTTTTCACATTTAAAAAGCCAAAGAATCAGTGTTGAAATTACGTACGTAGTTCTATGCAAAGTGAAGTCAGTTGATTAGATAAATGAAAGATACGTTAGATATGTAGCACAATGTAATATAGTGGCTAATTTTCATCATATACGATAATCGTGGATGTGTCGTTCAATTTCGTGGATTAGTTGAAGTTAGACATTAACACCGTTGGATGTCGGCTTAGTGGTCTAGTGGTTAAGCGCTCGCGCACGAGGCTGATAGATCCTGGGTTCAAATCCCTTGACGCAAGGTCGTAGATGCGCACTACTGAGGACTCCCACACTTCCAGGTTTTCCATGATGGTCTATCTTCAATTGACTCATGATCTCAACTATTGAAATTACTACAATCTCCACAAAACCCCTTCTGAAATATTAAAATGACCATAGTCACATAACACATCAGTATACCAACTCGCTTACTATAAATTTCATAAGTATTAAGAAGCTTCCAATTTCCTTGATAGTGTTTACAAAATGAAAAGAATTTATTAATGAAGGTTAGTGTTATATGTCTTGCCATTCATGTTCAATCTTTTAATTCGTTGTCCTTATCACATGAATAGATCTGTGTTGAGTTGATAAGTATTTTAATCACATTCTAAGTTTCTTCTTTCTGTTTAAATGACTAAATCATCAATTAATGTATAAATATCTTGTTCCTACTAACATTTATCTGTAGCCCTGAAAGTTTAGTAGTACCATTGTTGAATTACAGACTGAGTGACTTGGTATCAGTTTCATGAAGATTCCATATACATATTGTTGACAAGTTCCAACTAACATGAAATTCCTACTGACTACCTTTAACCATCTTATCTCTTAAACATTTTAAATTATGAAACATGTTGATTTTTGTGGCGTTTTGTTCTTTGAACTGGATTGTTTGGTCGTGGAGTGTTCAAATTTCTCCATATGTTTCCCAGCTTGTTCTGTGCACCTCGATGATGATTGGTTCTTACTGACCTTAAACTTATCATTGTTTACTTCTTTGTTTTGGTTGTGTCTCCCATTGGTTTGAACTAGTACACACTAAGTTAATGACTGAAAACTTTATTTTAGTATTGGGAATTACGTCCATTACCATTAAGAAGAAATGATCTAATCAATACAACAGTACAATCAATTCATTCAGATCCAATAAATGATCCTACAAATATTAAAAACTCTTTAATAACAAATGAACATCAATCAATTACAATGATCAAATCGACTACACCTATTATGAAATCAAATAAAGCAATGAATCAAGAAGTGATTGTAAGTAAAAATAAATATTATGTAATCCTTAATTTGTAATTGATTGATACATTAAAACCAGAAAACAATTGATAACTACTTTTTAATTCTAATAGAGATCTCACCATTGATTGATCACTGGGCGGTGATCACTGTCATGCTTGTCTAGTCCTTATTACTGCAGATCGAATGCTATTGATCATGTTGCAATGTGGCCACCAGTCTAGGTGACTCAACACTGCGAGCAGTATATATTGAGATTAGATGGTGGTTGGAGGTAGTCTACAGGAAACCCTGGACCCGGGTTTCGTGTTACTTAGCACTCGTCAGCAAGGTGTACCTGTAATCTTGAGGGAACTGGTGCTCCCCGGCGGATTCGGTCTCGTTTTACCCAGCTTCACAATCAGAGACGTTACCACTGAGCTATCCGAGCCACGACCGACCTCCTGTAGGATTGATATGTAATCACAATTGATTGATCACTGTATGGCGATCATTGAAGACAGCTATTTTATTTTTGATATGCTCGAACTCTGCCAGTCATATCTTTTCACTAGGATTTCAGAAACATCATAAAGCGAATTGATAGTGAGTTAACTATTCAGCGAGACTGTAATTTATGAAAAAACCTATCACGTATAAAATAATAGATCTCGGATTTTTAGCACGAAATTCACTCATTCATTTGGCTAAATAGCTCTTTGGCATTATAGATTATGTTAATTCATGATAAAAACCCTAAATCTAATTCCTAACCCAAATCATCAACTGTAAATAATAATTTTAATTCCTTACACAGGTTTATAACCGTCATTTGGTCCTGGTTATTAGGTGGACACTCTCAAGGTCAGTTTAGCATCGTTCAAAGGTCGTCCATAAGTTATAGTCTCACCAACTATTTTAGTTTAGTTGAATGTATGAAGTCGAGAATTTACTGTCAGTATAAATAAATATTCTACGACCAATTTATTCATTCTTCTAGAGTTGCGTTTTGACCTTGTTAATTATTCAATTATCAACCTTGACTGATTTTATATGAGCGTATGTGTGCTAATTACTTACCTTATCCATCATGTATCAGTAACTTATTTTTCTTCAACTATAAATGCCGATTCACACTTGGCTAAATTAAGTTGGCTCACTCGCCCTCTCCATTGCGCTTCATTTAGTTTTGCTGACTAGTGTTGAGGATGATAGGAAGGAAGTTAGGGGCGGCCAAATCAAAACGTGGCATCAGTCCACAAAGTCACTAACTTTTAGTCTGATTCATGTTGGTAAGTGCAGAATACTTGGTTGGGATCCGCGTAACTATCGTAACCAATGGTTAGATACTGTGGGTGACATGGTTGAGAATCGGTCACAATGGCGTAGGTGTATACACTCTCTGTCTTCCCTCAAACTATGAAATTGAAATAGCTTCATATCTCTTTCTACCAACTAACTCTTCCTTCCTGTATTATATCCTTATATGCAATTTTTCCTTTATATATTACTACCATTGAATTAACTACTTCTATGAATTCGGTGTTCATTTTGTTATGCTAATGAGGTATGACAACTTGGACCGATGCACATATGTGCCTGGTCCTACGTTGTAGATGACTGACTAACTGTTTCTCTTTTTGACCGACGATTGTACAAGATATACGTATTCAAAACTTCATTCTCGTATTAAACTTATTTAATTCCGTTATTCACTGATGGAATTTAAGTTGATGATTATACACAAAGATTGGCGAAATGTATATTTCGATAACAATCATTCGATAACGATCATCCACTTGGAGTCAGATATAGGGCCACTGAAATATTTGAAATAAGCGAAAGATCCTTTACTTTGAAACTCATTTGAATATCATTCTATGACAAAAGAAAATATACTGACAGCATAAGTGATTGAAAACGTTTACAAATTTAGGTACATGATAAGCCTATATTACGTACATATAAATCGGTATGAGATATGAATTCATTATAACACTGAATATATTGCTCTAGGAATTTTATGCTTACATCATGCGTATTATACTGTATATAACTATTTTTATTACTTATTCCTCATTCTAGAATGTTATTTCCCCTGAACCAATTGTAATAGAACACAATCAGAATGGTATTACAGATAAATCGAAAGAATGTATCATTCTTGGACCTGTAACAACGCTTGGTTTATCTAATGATGAATATCAATCAATATTACAATCATCATCAATAACAAATCAATGTTTATTAATCATAATGGGTGGTTGTATTGAACTTCGATTACATATTTTAGGTGATCGAATATCAATCCTTCCAAGTAACCCAGTAACTGAAACAATAAAAGGAATTGGTGGTGATCGTTCAATGGTTAATGGACCGAATAAAAGCACAAATGTAACTGAGACAAATGATACAGATTTATTAAAACATTCTAAACGAGAATTAAATCATTTATGGGGTAAATGGTTTACATTAAATGAATTAATCACAGTATTACAACAGTCAGGTATGAATATATTTCCTAGAGAAGATTCAGTCAGTAGGATTGATTGCCTTAACAAGGTTTGTATACTTTTTTGTTTTAGTCTTCAATACAGATTTTCTCTTGAAATATAGAATCTAATTTAACAAAAAGACACTGTAAGCTATAAATACAAATCTGTCCTGTAGTACTGTTTTAAACAAAAATACAAGTGGGTGGATAACCAATGTACTTTAATTCAAAATAACAGAATGTCTTGGTCAAATATGAGAACCATACATTGAATGCTTCATTGTAAATTTCCATCATTTTGCTTTTACATTCTGAATGATTTGTCCTATTCATAATTCTTTTCAATTCTCTTCAACTTGATCTTCTAATCCTTCTGCTGTTTGCTAGGGTTTCCACTTTCTATTGATGTTACATAGTACTTATGTCCGTCGACATAAGTAGCATACATCACAATGTCATCATCCTTTATATCATAAATGCATCATATCGGCAACTCATCTTTTCATTTTATTCCAACAAAAATATTCATAAAAATGAATAAACACATACATTGACTATTGACCATTAAAAAAGGACTACCCTTACAACTTCATCAAAGATGTCTAGCATCAAAAAATTATGCCTAAACACTCAAAACTTAGAAGTCTTAAAATAGTTGAGACCAATTCAACGGTTGCAAGTTGGATTTTATGGAATCATTAGATTCCTGTTTCTTTTATATTAATCAAAGGACATAGAAACTACAGAAGACCAACCTTTTGCCAACCACATGAAGTATTATTTGGTATCTGTGTAAACAAGAACACGATGTCTCATGAATACATTTAGATAATTACGGAAACGAACTCGACTAAAAAAATATCAGAATTCTAGACTAAGGAAACTTCGAGAATTTTAACAAGATTCTAGAACTCAGGAACTCGTATCATTTCGTAATCTAATCTATCAATTCATGATAACAAGGTTAATCTAACGAAACAATCGAACAAAGTAAAAAAGGACATGAAGCTGAAAAAAATATTCCCCTAAGACATTTAATTAAAATTTGGTTTATCAGAACATACTAATTCGATACTTGTAAATGGATTGCAAGAATCTTCTTTCAGTCAGAATTATACGTCAATAAAACTACTTCAAATTACAGTGAAGGTGCTAAAACCATATTATCTAGCTAGGAATGTCCCATGCCACCAAAAGAAGGAACTATAATAAACGCTAAAATGTTCGGCATGTACATTGATTATTGTTTTCAATTATTCACTTCATCATAAATAAGGATGATGTTGGGGACATTAGATCCCCAAAACTCATATTTTGTAATTTTATCTTTGTGGAGCTTGTATGTAGATGTATGCTTTGGCATTTCTTATCACCCATGCACATAGTCGATTGACGAACTTATCAATTAAATGTTTAAAAACTTCCATGGCAATATCGATTATATATATTTTGTATAAATACGCTTGATTTGTGTGCCTGATGAACCTGGTATCTTCTGGTTGTCTGTAGAATACACTTTTTACATCATACCAAGACTTCCGGATTGAGTTAGCTGAGTCGGGGACAACGGACTAGTATAGCCTATCGAGTCTCTGAATCCTAGATTCTTCGTTCCGTTTCGAGTAAAACGAATCAGTAGTAGCATTCAAGTTATCAAACATGACAGATGAAGAATTTCTAAACTCAATAGTTATTTGAATGATATCTTTCTTAGAACCATTGAACAAATGAGTAAAACTATTTACCATCTAACTATTAATACAACGTTCAAATGAATCAGTCAAGAATGATTCAGAATATATATATATATATATATATATATATATATATATATATATATATATATATATATATATATATATATATACTTTAACATATGGAATCCTTTATAAAAACCTCTGGATGAACTACAGTTTACGATGTACACCAACTAGAGATTTTTAATAATGATGTATCAGTCAGAATACAGTGGTCTTGAATGCTATTAGAGATATCAGGGCAGTTATCACTTCCCGGTTGCCCACACCGTGGAAGGGTTCTTCTGGAAGTGCCTGAAAAGGAAATTGGATAAGAGATGATCTGAGAGCGTGACCTCAGTGCCCAAGTGACATCTGCTTGAGGTCGGTCACACACGACCTTTTTATGAGTAATTTTTTTGTTAGCTCCGTACTTGTTGAGACTTTACCACCGGAGACGGATATCCGTGAATTTAGGCGAGGTGTGCATTTTTAGGGTCGACCTTTTCTAACCCCACCCTTCCCTGTGGGAAGGCAGTGTCGCTGTCATGCTGGTTGTCTGAAGGAAATACCTTACTTCTGTCACACCTCTGTACAGTCAGCAGTACGACTTCGCCTTCGGACCTTAGGTTTGTTGCTTTTAGTCTTACCGCTCTTCAACCGACCTGTCTAACATGGTAGGATTTTGAGGAACGGTTACGTCATCACGATAGGCAAGCACGACCACCACTTCAAGGTAGCAACAACGGTCGGGAATAATTATGTATATACTAAAAGATAAGGGTTCTAAGAAGCGGCCATAAAATAGATCTCATTACACTTTATTATTTGACCTATAGTATACTCAATGCATTACATATATTCTGTTATAGTCTATTTCTTCTCAAGCAATGTAATTTGACTACATTAATCTGACCATGGTATACCTAAATGTTTTAGAATAAAACGTTAGAAAATATTTCATTTAACAAAAATATATCCTCATTAAAACATAAATTGATTGTTTAGAATCGTCTTGTTGAAGAAAATCTATATCAGCATATGGCATTATTAAGTCCATCCATGGCTTTTGGTTGGTCAAGATGGAATAGTGAATGTCATGATGATCATACAATCATTGTAACAGCTGTTGAACATATAGATCATGAAGATTCAGTTGATGAGGTAATACTAATGAATTATATTTATCATTTACTATAAATTTCACTGACAGCCCCTAAATGCTATGGTACGGCTCTGCCTCTTCAAATGCTCTCATATAGCCACTTGCATATAACCACTGCATACTCACTGTCTTCTCGCGATTGGGGTGTTGTTTACGAAATTGAGAAGACGAAAAGTGAGTGTCCGACGCTTTAACCAGGTTGGTGGATACGGAAGATCTATATAAAGGATTTAGTTGGAAAACCTTGATTCCAAACTAATGGTGTACATGAGCTCCAGGATCCTAAGGAAACAAATGATGTATGCATCTGTTGTTGGTCATCGCCTACCATGGGACTGCATCTGCTAAAGTTGCTTTTACGCCTTGTGGGTTAGACCTTTAGGTCAAATGTTTCGGGTGTGGCCCCTTAAGAAAACCACCCGTTTCAGTTTGAGTACCCAGGCAGTATCTCATCCCTCATATAAATGGAATGATTTATGTGGCGCATATCTATTTGGTGCCGCCTTGTGCATAAATATATTACTTTTAGTCATAAACTTAGATTTGAGATGATAAAATCAACAACAACTTTCAGTTCTGAAATAAACTAAGATGAAAAGAAGAACTAACTGGTTCAATATGGTTGAATGATTGTCTACTAATCAGTAAATAGTGACTAACTTAAAATTAGTGAATAAATTGCCAGTAAGAAAATTATGCATTCAATAAGTAGTATATTTACATTGCATGAATCTCATAATATTCTTACATTAAATATACTTGATACCTACTGTCAATCAGATAATAGACACTTTCATAACTCAACTCAAAATTATAAGCAAGAGATTGATGGTACCTAGCAGTGGAATCAAGGACGCTTGTTTTGTCCTATTTAGGACTTTTCAACTGGATTTATCTGTATCTCAGGGTTAATATTCACTTCGGAATTCGAACTCATTACCGTTCGTTTCAAACACCATTGTGTTATCCACTTAGGTACTGAGTTCATATAGCTACTAGATTGTGCGATGAGATAAAATGCCTAACCATAAACTTTTCATCTGATCTATTTCAAAAACCTAAGTTTCAAGCTCTCAACTTGATAATTATATTTCACTGGTTTAAATCATGAGTAAATTGAAGCCAGGCCACCATGGAAAACCTGGAAGCACTGGATGTCCGTTTCGTCCTAGAATCGGACCCCTCAGCAACGACCATCCATGATCAAGCATCTCGGGTTTCGAACCCAGGACTTATCAGTATCGCGTGTGAGCGTTTAACCACTACACCACTGAGCCGGCATGCAACAGTGTTAATGTCTAACTTCAACCAATCCACGAAATTGGGCCACCGTACACCATTGTCTTCAGTGGGTTGATATCTCACAACAGACGTGGTTGAACTCCACTGGTAACGGCTTCTCACTGCTGAGGAGTCCCAAACTAGAACGAAACGGCCGTCCAGTGCTTCCATGTTTTCAATGGTGGTCTAGCTTCACTTGACTCATGATTTAAATTAGTGAAATTTCTAAAAATCTCCACAAAACCCCTTCTGATAATTATATTTCATTCAATATTCAACAGATTTTTACTATAGATAAAGAGTAGTAATAAATAATCTATACCCATTAACTTTTAAGTTTGCATCGCCATATCATATAGCATACACACACACACATCTTATTTAATTACCAATATGTGTTTATATAATATTAATTTTATCTATATAGGAATCATGGAAGGTGTATAGTGTAACTAGGAAAAAGGTGCAACAATTGGAAATGAAAGAATATGATGAACAATTCAGTCCATTATCTAATCCTAATCAACCTGTAAGTACTAATATATCTAATTTCAATAAATGAATTTCCTAACATCATTATTTCTCATTAAATTAATGTTTTGAGATAATGTATTCTAGATACTTGAAAAACTTCATTTTCATTGGATCTATATCCTCACAGACAGATTGTGAATAATAACGTTCGGGCAAAATATTTATGATAAAATCTTATAACAGAAGAAACCATATTTTGTGTCTTCATTTGTCAACAGTCAACTAACAGTAGCCAAAGAATAAGATACCATCAATTCAATTGGAATGTTATATGTACTGAAACGAAAGTTGATGAAAATAAGATTATAAGTTTCAGGGTTGTGGAGATTGTTAAGTTTTTGATTGAGACCATGAACCGATTAATGTTAGACCACCATTGAAAACCTGGAAGCACTGTATGGCCGTTTCGTCCTATTGTGGGACTCCTCAGCAGTGCGAATCCATGATCCCACTCGTGAGATTCCAACCTAGGGCCTTCAGTCTCGCGCGCAAACGCTTAATCTACTGAAACACTGAGTCGGCATCCAATGGTGTTAAGATTACTCAACTGACTTTGTAAACGGTGCACCGAATTGACGCCACATAAACTGGAAGGTATTAAACTGGGTGTTTATTTCACCTTAAGCGTTTTTCTGATTAACACCTTTGTAGATCATCTATACTATTTACGTTCAATGTTGTTGTTGTTCATATTGTTCCTTACGTTTTATAGTTCCATGCAGATTTTTATCACATGTATATGGATTTTGGATGTGACGAAGGTAAACGACGAGTTGAAGAGATAGATCTAAAATATTTTAAAACTGTAAACAAATTACTTCAAGCCACTCGTCTTTTAGTTTTCTCTTAAAACATATATAAACAATAATAAATACTTATAACAGTCATGGTATTTGTACTGATTAAATTACAATATATTAAATTTTTCATAAATATAACTATTGTTATGAGAAGGGGTTTTGTGGAGATTGTTGTAATTTTGATACATAACATTATGAGTCAATCAAGGATAGACCACCATGGAAATCCTGAAAGCACTGAACGGCCGTTTCGTCCTACTGTGGGATTCCTCAGCGGTGCGCATCCACAGACCTGCACGCTGGATTCGAACCCAAAACCGGATCAGTTGTGAGATAGTAACTCACTGATGACAGTGGTGGATGTGTCGCTCAATTTCGTGGATTAGTTCAAATTAAACATTATTACCGTTAGATGCAGACTCAGTGGTATAAATATATAAACACTAATAAATACTGATAATTGTTATGTTATTTGTATTGACTAAATTACAATATATTAAGTTTCTCATGAATATACTTATGGTTTTTTAACTGATACTACATGGAGTTAAATTAAACTTGACATTAAAAGTTACTCAATTGTTTAGTTCGACATTAAAGGGTTAAAATCAATAAACGTTGCATCACGTTATAAATAAATAAACAGAATAACGTGAAATCTCAACCACAATACTAGAAGATTATTAAATCACTGATTAGAGTAGAATCACTTTTATTTACTAATAGAACTACTGAAGATAATCACATCAAACAAAACTCTGTAACTCAAGACAAACCATTGACCAAGATGGGTGAGCCACGTGTTACGTATGCCTGAACACCGATTACCGCGACGCGCAAGGCTTACTAGTGTTAGCGATGGTTGGAAGAAAGTTAAGGGGAGGCCAAACCAAAACGTGGCGTCAGTGCTTGGAGTCACTAACTTCCAGTCTGAGCCATGTTAGTGGATGCAGACTACTTGGGTGGTGTCAGTGTAACTATTGTTACCAATGGTTGTAGACTGGGTGACATGGCTCAGAATCGATCACAATGGTGTAGGTGTATACACTCTCTGTCTTCCCTCAAACTATGAAATTGAAATCGCTTCATATCTTCCTTTCTATGAACTAATTCTTTCTTCCTGTATTGTATCCTTATAGGCAATTTTTCTTTTATATATTACTACCATTGAATTAACTACTTCTATGAATTCGGTATTCATCTTGTTGTGTTAATGAGGTATGGTAACTTGGACCGATGCATATATGTGCCTGGTCCTACATTGTAGCTGACTAAAATAAGATGAAGTTTGTGTTTTTAAAAAATACAACCGATACCCAGATGATTACGTAATAAATGGGTCATGGATCAAAACTTGTGTAGACCTTTTGTTTAGAAAGTTTAAATGTTATCAATAGAACTGATTCAGGGCTAACCAAACTTAATCTAAATGAACTAATCTGCAAAAACATCCCACTTCAACTGAAATTTAATACTTTTTCGAACTAGTAGGAGTAAATGCATTTGCATACCAATCGAATGTTTCGAGCAAATAACTTCAACTGGCTCTAAATAGTCATGTTTGATTCCAAGATTTGCCGGTACTTAATGTCTTTTATGAATATTCTTTTATGTTTATATCCCTCCATAAGTAAAAAATCTTCCGATCACATCCTTACAAATGCCGTAGGGCTTCACGTTTTTGTCTTACTTGAGTATCACCGTCACAAAATCGTCACAAGAATAGAAACGCTAGTCCACTAATACCCTTTAGTAATTGGTTCGTGCTATGAATGATGAACAGCTTCTTACGGTACGGAAATTCCAAAGCACTTCTGAAAAGATTCTCAATGCTCATCATTAGTTATATTTATAAAATGACCAGATACAGTCATATATTTTGAATGCCCCTTGAGTTCGAACTACGTTTCTCAAAAATGTTGTGATTACAGATATAGATGAATCGCTTTGTTTTTCTCCTAACTAAACTACTCATTGGCTACATCCAAACGATGAATCCAAAAAAGAATATGACTTGTCCCTAAACTCTTCTAATTGTTTATCTTACGAAAGTGATGCATGCTGAATAGCTAGTTGTTGGTTTAATACCCTAAAGCTCAAAATGCTTAACAAGTTAAATACTATGCTGAATGATGCCTTACTTGACGGACTTAAAACATCGCTTTACATACTGTAGGAAAAAACGTTTTAGAATGCACCGATTGAATAATTCACATTACTTAAGGTTGGCGCAAACAGTTGTTAAACCGTCTCTTGAGTGATGGTTTGTTCTCCACTTTTAGAACATGTATAGCAGAGTTTGTACTTGTCAAAATCACTAAGATCTTGAAACACTTTAAACCCCCTAAGTCAGCAGATTTCTATGGAATCCAACTCAGTATAATGAAGGAATGAGTGGATTTGAAGTTCAATATTAATTACATTTGTCTTTATTACTAGAGTAACAGAACTAATCCCATAATTGTAAATCGGCTATAATGTGGCTGCCTAATCTACATGATCTCACATGAAAGTCACATCATTGTCTATACTGACTCGTCCTACCATGACAATGAACAAAATGACGTCTAGCACTCCTAAAGGATACATTTCGGCTAGGGATATAATATTATATTTAATATGGAAATGGATGAGTTACAGAGAGTGACCATGCGTGCATAACTGAGCCATACCATATCGATCAGCTATTCCCACGTTCATCACTTCTGACCTTCACTTTAGTGCCAAATATTGAATTTAAATTTCTTGTTATCGTATGTTCTGCTTCAAGGACCGTGCGGTTGAGAAATAATGTCCCTACAGACCGACGTTTTACCTCTCTTATTAATCTCCTTATGTATCCACCTGTCTAGAGAACACTACCTGTTGGTCATGTCCATAACTTACTAATCAAATTATTGTTTGAGCGTCCACCACGTCAATGTGGTTTGATGTGTCTGTAGGCTATCCCTGCTACATGTAGCCTGCCAACTAATGGACATTATTATCCTATTATATTAGTGTGACTCATTATTTTTATTCCTTTCTATAAGACACGCAATACTGGTTGGTATGTCCGTGCGTTCCAATTAATGATTAGGATTCCTTTAACTATTGTACTGATCCAGTTGTTATGTCTACGTTTAGAAACAAATAAAGTTTACAGCCGAGTTGTCCTTGTTCTGACTATAGCTCATGTTTCCAATTTTATGCTGAATTAGCTATTCTACTAAGACAGCCTAAAGAAAAGTCTGCATTCCTATTAGTGAAGAACGTATGGAACTCAAAAGAACTGTCGGTCAACACCAGCCAGAATACTCAATACGAACGGTAAGACGGACCTGGTGCACGGAGCAGACACATGGCGAACTACGACAACCATCATCAAAAAATGTACAGATATTTATAAATAGTTGTCTACTGAGGATACTACAGATGCGTCGTTGACAGAACCTTAGTAGGAATAACTTATTTCAGTAGAGAACAGATTTTTGAATCGATAAAAAACTAAGGAGATATGCTGGAAGTTGATAGGACATACTCCTCAACGAGGGGTTACAGGAGTAAGTAAGTAGGATCGTGTATAAGTAATTAACGAAACTGCGGGTAACAGATACGTTTAAAACCTGATGACATAAGAGAAACTTGTGACAGAAAAAGGGTGTGTGAGATAGTATGTGTACCAAGAGTGAAGTATTGACTACGTCGTTTAACATGTACAACAAATTTTCCCGTGATGAACCTAACAACTGTTTGCGGTTAGTAACAATCGTCAATAATTTAATAAATATTACCGTAGACATCTAGTCAGATAGCAACTAATTCCTACTAATTTCAGACGTAAACAAAAAAAAGTGATCACTAAGCCGAAGGTCTGATAAAAGTCTAAAAGTCTATGTAACCACTTACGTCACTGAATATCAGGGTATTTCACTCAAGTAATGGGTTTCTGCTGCACGACAAACGTGCCAGAGACATAAATTAAGATCTAAACGGGACAGAATCTGTTTTCAAATAATGTCGAGATGAACTGTCTGTACTCAATAAATTACACCCGTTTGGTGACACTATTTGTCAGGACATCGCAAGCTGTGATTCAATAATGAACGAATAGTGACACATGAGCGTGGTTTTTATTGTTCTCTAACCTTATTAAATATCGTTCCCTATTTTTTGGTCTGGTAAAAACGTGTCTTTGATCTGTCTTGCATTTTATATGTGAGAGATAAGTCACATAACTTATTACTTAATGTCAATATTGACCCATCAGATATGTCTGTGGAAGTAAATAAATCCCCGAAATTAACAGTTATGTAAGTCTTCAACACTGATGCTGACCGCATTAGTTTTACTGAATACTTCTTTGATTAAAGTGTTCGTCTACGCATCCGCACCAGATCACGAGTGGATATGGCGTGCTACGCCTCCCTTGTAACTACTAGCCAGTCTAGATCAAACGCATCTGGACATACCAATAACTGTTCAAATATATTTTCAAACCTTTTCATTTCTGGCTTCTGATTTAACTGGGTTTGTATACTTTGTTTACAAAAGTGTTGCATTTGACGGTGCTGTCAAACTCCGAATACTTGTGGCATCTGTAAGCTTAACCAAACACAATGATTTATTGCAAAATCCTTCAAAGATGTTGCTAGTAATCAGTCTGTGACAACCCTGTTGTCCTTAACTCCCTTACGAAAAAAGATTCAAACGCCTGTCGAACTAGAAAATTGGAATGATTTGGTTCAAAGATATATTCGTGAGACAATCAATGTTTCTACGAGTAAGCGCTCTAAGTTGCCTAGTTGTTACGAGTAATGTGTTGTAGTGTCGGTTATTATGCTAATCCCATATACCTTATTCCGGCTTTCAGACAGGGCAATCTTTTCATTCTTCTTGAGTCATATTTTGACCTTGTTAATTATTCGCTTATCAACCTTGATTGTTTTTATGTGAGTGTATGCATGTGTACGCTTTTTCTTTTTCATCACATGTCTGTAACTCACTTTATTGTGATTATAAATATTGATTAACGCTTGACTAAAGGGGAGTCGGGTTATAATCCATCTCA